TATTAAGCTAGAAAAGCCAGCTTCCCCAAAACTTGTTAATTCCAGGTGGTAAAAAGCCAATAATGAGGTGCCATTCGTCCATATTGTGTGAACCATTGGGTTAGCTCAACCTGTTATGCCTGGATTACTTTTGCCCGTTAAAAATTCTCCTTTAGGTTGAGCTCTGGCGGATCACTTAATTGCACTAGTTCTTAAATGCTTATTGGATGAAACATGGGGAAAATCATGCATTTAGTGTTCTCAAAAGATAGCTCCCGCGCACTAGATTTGAAAATGATATCATATAGTGAGAATTTAATGATTGGAAGTCCTAGCTTAATTTTTTTTGGGGGGGGGGGGTGTTGCGGCAGAAGAATTATGAAGGTTCAGAATGTGGTCCTGACACACAGTGTATTAGTCATAACTTTGCAGTTTAGATGTACTATCATTTCCTGATGAATTGGAAAATCTATGAGAGCGTGATTTTATCCTGTATGATGACCATTTTTTAGGGAATCGTGTAAACTTGTATTTTATTTACCTTTGATTTGTGTTGAAGCAAATGGAACACCAAATTGATAGCAGATGTAACCCGCTTTTAGGTAGGGGCTGAACCTGAGAAACTATATTTTGGTTCCATTACCAAAAAATAGTGCATGATGAATGGCAATACTGATCGATACATTGGCTACTTGGAATTTAAATTCAGTTTGAAAATCAGCTGAACAATTTATTACTTTTCATATGGATATTTATACCAAGAAGTTGATTCTGTTAAATAAGAGAATTCCTGTGTTCTAAATGCTTTTTAATCTTGAGAAGTTCTCCTTTGTCTTGCACAAGCCCCCCCCACCCCAGAAAAAAGGGAGGAACATATGTAGTTTTGTATCCAAGGATTCCTTGAGTTGGCCATATTCTGAACTTGTTTCCTCTTCTCTACTTATCTTGTCATTTTAAACTTTAAAGATGCTTAATCTTCTTAACATTTGAGTTTGTTTGCTTTTGTTTGTACTCAATTAATACACAGGTACAAGAAAATGGAGGAATGTATAACACCATCTGATGTTAAGGGTGATGAAGCATCTGGAGAAAGTATCAAGCCTTTCCCTGAGAGGCTTTATGCTATTCCCCAAAGAATTGCTAGTGGATCAGTTCGTGGAGTCTCTGCTGAATCATACCAGGAGGACAGTAAGAAATGGAAAAGGCATGTAAATGCTTATAAGAGAATCAATAAAATCCTTGATTCTGGCAGGTATCGTAATATTATGGATATGAATGCTGGATTGGGTGGTTTTGCTGCAGCACTTGAATCTCCCAAATTGTGGGTTATGAATGTTGTGCCTACAATTGCTGAGAAGAATACACTGGGTGTTATTTATGAAAGAGGGTTAATAGGCATCTATCATGACTGGTATTATGCCTTTTCCTTTTGCTCAGCAATATTTAGGGATTGACTGGTGTAGCATAGCAATCTGTCGGAAGTTTAACAATGTTATCCTCACTGCTATATTTCTGATTCAGGTGTGAAGGCTTCTCCACATACCCAAGAACGTATGATCTCATTCATGCTAACGGCCTTTTCAGCTTATACAAGGACAAGTAAGCATTGCTTTTTGGCTTTGTGTTAGGTCGATGCTTGATAGATTGCTTTTTACACGCCTAATGGCCTTCAGGATTGCACTATAAACTTAATATGTCTTTGAGATGCTCATTTACAAGGCTATGTCCAATTAGTGCTCAGATTGTAATTCTGCGACTCTGGGAAATCTCCATGTTGACTATTCTTCATAATCACGTCTTAGTCATCATTTTCTGTTCTTTATTATTACTCAACCGCACTTAGGCTATCAATCAAATTAAATGAAGAACAGAAGTGCTACATCTGCTCCTACTGTGTCCTGGGTTAGAAAGATTTGTATGTTTGTTAAAAAGTTGATCCAGTCGTTTTTGAATAGCCATGTACTTTTAAATCCTGCTATTGATTAACTCAAAAATGCTTAATTACAGCACCTGGATCCTACTTTGGCTTCTCTTTTTCTTTTGTCGTTTCTTGTCACTGTTGTCATCATAATACAGTAGTGTCATTTGCTTTGTGAGGCTGTTGAATGCCTACACATATGATCTAGAATTCATATTTATCTGTGACCTACCCAATCCAGGTGTGACTTTGAGGACGTCCTTTTGGAGATGGACCGGATCTTGAGGCCAGAAGGTGCTGTTATAATCCGGGATGCAGTTGATGTTCTAAACAAGGTGCAGAAAATAGTTAGGGGAATAAGGTGGGACTTCAAATTGACAGATCATGAGGATGGTCCCCTTGTCCCTGAGAAAATCCTGATTGCAGTAAAAAAGTATTGGGTTGCCGGAGAAAATAACTCCACTTCCACAGAGTGAATCCTGCGAGGAGATGCATGACTCAAGATGCGGCAAAAGCAGCACAGTAGATCTTCAAAACTATTTTCAAGCTACCCCTGGATCAAGAATCCATTTTGCCAGGAGAGATTTTTTTGGCTGGTAAGAGGTTAACCTTGGGGATGGGGCTACTCTTTGTATCAGTATATCTTTAAGCAGCAGTTGGATGGATGGGGAGTAGAATGTTACTGTTAGTTCTCTCTTGTGTAACATTTGCTTTATTTATTATTCATTTGCCCAATTGGATAAATATACTCTTTTTTAACTCAAGGTGACAACCAAAACCACGTATGCGCCATGTTTTCAGGCTTCTTATTCCCAAGCACCATTTCCTTTATCTTGTGCTAGTTTTTGAGGCTTCTTTGCCTTCCTTTTTCTTGGTCCTCAGCCAGCCAATTTTCAATGACAAGATTATGTAACCAAAGGAAAACAATTGATTTTACACGAAAAAAGTTCTGAGGAAATCCAAAGTACAACAGACTAGTTGTTTACTGCTTATTATTGATACCGACAGATAAAGTGAGAACGGGATAGACATCACCTTTCCAGTCTCAACTCTCAATAGTATTTTCTAGTTTCTACCCCGTATCAAATTTGGCATATTTGTGTGGGCATCAGACAAGGGGACAGTACGATACATGTTTCCAGCGGGCAACTTCAAAGTTCCATCCACTGAAGGGTAAAATGACAAATAAGTCAAGTCTAGAAAAAGTTACGTTTAGTCAGAAGAGTGATCAAAACGGTTCCCATAAACTAGTTCCTGCCACATATACAGTCGCAAGAGAACAAAGTTACGGCCTCTTGTACGAATGAAGAGAGACAGAAACAAGTCTTGAAGGGACTATATGGTTTCAGTCTTCTGCCGACAAAATAAAAAGATGATCAAGAAATTCAGCAGATCAAATTTGCTTGACTAGCGGCACTAGAAAGTGGTGCTGAATTCCAATTTTGCCGTCAAACTAGCATTCTCGTCTTGTCCCAATTGTCGTACGTAAACCAAGTTTAGCTAACAAAACTTTTTGTGACATTTGAATTCTCGTCTTGAATTATATGGATTCGGTTAATCTCATGTCGATAAAGAACAGAAGGGATCCACGCTTGCATAGCAGACCAACAATGAACCCATAATGAGTTCAGCACAGGTGAAATTGTAGCAGCCGTCCGACAAATGGGATGTATTCGAACCCTGTACATCTCTATTATTGAACATACAAGCAATACGGTCGTGCTTCGTTGTTGTTCAGAGGATTTTGTGAATCTTGTGTGGCCAATATTCCTCGATGAACTAATGCAAGAGGCAAACCAAAGAGGAAGAAATTGGGGGGGGGGGGTAGTTTTTGTTGTTGTCACCTACTCTTGTGCCTGGTGGGGATTTCATCATTCAAGTTCTGTGGGGCAGAAGAGAGCTAGAGCATCTATCCAAATTCTAAGGCGTTTGTGACATATTCCTACCCCTCCATAAATGGTTTCAGCTCTCAAATCTCCCAAACAAGAAGTTGCTTTTCGTTGCTGCAAGAGATAATCCATTACAAGACAGAAACCCGTTTCTTTTAACTTACAGCTGTGGTGATGAAGAGCGTCGCATCTAGCATTGATTAGATTTAATTGTACCAAATGATTGATCAAATTGCTTGTCATACACACTTCGGTATATTAACAAGATTCTGATGACTATTTAAGACGATTAGGAGGAGGTTTCGAAATGTCTCCATCTTGGGCCAACTCGAGGATATAGTAGTGTATCCAATGCTACAGGTATAAATTTCTAAAGCACATCCATTGCAGGACATTACAAAATTCAATATCGGTGATAGGACCTCATATGAAACATCGTATCAGGGGAATATATACTTTCCTAATCTTTTGCAACTTGGAACACTCATTCTGATCAATAATGTAGTGTGGACTGCAAAATGAGACAAGTAATTTTCTAGAATTTGATTAAACATTCGTAAGTTGCACGTAAATAAGTTGATTAATGGTGAAACCTTAACCACCAAGTTTTAAGATACCAAGTCAAGATTAGACAGTGAAGCATTTTAAAATGTAGTAGTTGATTATTTTTAGGCACTGTAATCTCATGAAAGCAACAGAACCTATGGTCTGCTCAAACCTTTACTAAAACTCTTTGATTTCATGAATATGTGAATGTACCGGCAAGAAGTAGATGCGATTCTAGCAGGGGTTTGGGACTCTACTGACTGCTACTCCAGGGACATTGAATTTTGAGTTTCAACAGCCAAACATTTGGGCTAAAATACTACAGGTGAACGACCATTTTTTCTTGGTCCACCTGTCTTGCATTGTACTGAACTCGTTTTAGAAAGATTTGTCGAGGACTTCGCCTTGACTAGTTTTAACAATTCTGGGGATGAAATTACTGTTCCCTGCGATGCTTTGGTGCAAGATTTGCAATAATGTGAATTCTCAAATAAATGACACTCTGATTCAGATCCAGGTTGATTCTCTAAGTCACAAATATGGACTAGCATTTCTTTCTTTCTTTGTCAAAGAAATGGGCAATTCGAATGATAGTCAACCCTAATTTGGCGTCCAAAAGGATCAGCAAAACAATCCCTTAAAAAAAAACCAAAGAAAAAAAGAAGGCACGATAAACTTTGTAGTGGTCAGTTAAAAGTTAATAATACATAACAGCAACGTTAACAAAGTGTAGGTTGCAAACTGGCACTTCACTAACGCTCACTGTCACTGAAACAGTGAAATGGCTGGCTATATGGACATGAACCCATAGTAATCTTTCTGCCGAGTAGTCCTTTCGCTTAATTTTTATCCAAGTCTTCTCCTTTCTCAAGTGCAGTCTCTCTCCAATCCCAATAGTATATAACACCTAATTCTTGTGCACATTGGCACCGAACTTGCATTATTTGTAGTACTCCAAGCTTCTTCCGCAAATTGAAACTGCTCCTGTCTTATAAAAGCGAGAAATTCCTGCATACTTTTAAGACCTTTTTCTCGTGTAGTAGTAGTAGTTTCCAACTCCTGAAGTCTTCTTTCAAACTTTTTCTTGTAGTCCAGTGCTAAGGCACTTGTGTTCAGTTTTGATTGAGCATACAAAATTCTTCTGCAGGGTTATTTTCTCCTTTTAAAAAAAAAAAAAAAAACTGTTGACTCCTTGATCACTCTTATAGGCTTCAACTGAGGCATAATTTCGATGGCTATGCTCACATTGGATACTGCATCAGAAACCAACATCCCAAGAACTGTGCCTTTCAGGAATAGCAGCAATCTCCGTGATGCCTCGTTTTCTTCTTACCTGAATGGTTCTGAAGAAACTTCTGTGCATCAACTTGCAGATTCCAGTAAAAGCTGCGAGCCCCTCATCTCCACCCCACTTGATCATCTTCACCTTGTAAGCAAGAAGGCTGAAGATACTGAAATCGATATATTTAGTGCTGATAAGTATTTCAATGAAGGAGTTGAAGAGGAAACTCCCCGAATTGCCGACAAATACTCTCCAAAGCTCGATCAAAAGATGGACCCTCCACCTGAATTGGATCCACTAAAACAACAGACTGGGTCAGGAACTCCAAGTATTCGCTCTGAATCAAGCTGGAACAGCCAAAATGCATTGCTGCAAAATATTCCCCGGAATCAGCTGCCACGGAAAACAAACAAGGCTAATCGCAGGAGCTTCCTCGCTAATATTGCTTGCAATTGTTCTTGTAGTGACAAGAACTCTGTTGATATTGATATTCCACTCGGTGAAAATAATTGCAATATGAGTGCTAATGGCAAGCAAGCTTATGGCAAAGCAGGAAAGCCAACAAAAGCTGTTGGTTTGGTTAGCCTTAGCGAGTCTCAATCTAGCACATTAATCAGGGAAGATTCACCCTGCAGAAAGTTTGACCAACTAGGAATTGGATTGAGCACAAACGGTCATTTTAGGTTCCCAGCATCTCATCCCACAACTGAGGATAATCCACTAGAAATGCAGCGAAAAAAGGAAGAAGATGATACTAGGCGGATATCATTAGAAGTGTTTGGCTCCCCAACTGAGAGAAAAGGGAAGAAGTCCTCAAGCCTTGAAAGAAGCCTGAACATGTTAACTTGGGATGCAATTGTTCCAAAGGTGGACGAAAGTGAAGTTCAAGCCAGCTCCAGAGGGATGTACAATGACACAGACAGCGATGCAAGTTCAGATTTATTTGAGATAGAAAGCTTCTCCACCAATCCCAGCCAATATCTTACCAGGCAAGCTTCAAACAACTCAATGACACGGACAACTTGTTATGCTCCAAGTGAAGCAAGTATAGAGTGGAGTGTTGCAACAGCTAGTGCAGCAGATTTCTCTGTGATGTCAGACACAGAAGAGCTGAGATCAACTACAACAAAAGCTAATCCTCGTGGTAATGGTATGGCTCTAAATGGGAGATCTACACCGGTCAGAGAAATGCCGAAAAGGCGTTCAGGTATTCTTTCAGGATGTTACAGTCAAAAAGCTGTTAGAGTTGCAGGAGACGTATACAGAACAGGTGAAAACACATGCCCCGGCAGGCACCAGAAAACAGAGTTCCTGATGCCAATGACAAGGTTTCATGCTGAAAATGAGGTTGCCAGGTTTGACAAAAGAAATGATCATTTTGGCCAGGACACACGTTTGTTCACTTGCTCACAGTCTAGACGTCCTACAGAGTTACTGTATAAGCATTGATCTCATGGAAGTTCTGTAACATTTATTACTTTTTATCTCCTATTTTTTTTTAAAGAATTCTCATGTTTCAAGTGTTCATTTAGTCATAACTATAGTAACTCTACTAGCATGCCAATCCATATCTACCTATGTTATGCAAAGTTTGCCCTGCCAAAGCATTGATCTCATTTGGGTACAGCCAAGGCTGGGATTTAGCCCCAGATTTCACCTTCGTGTTTGCTGTTCAACATCACAGACCAGGATGTTATATGTTGACGTTTTGGATTTGTACATTTGCATTATTATGGATAGCTTAAGCACTAGGACATTCAAGACTTTCAAGGTATCGCTTATAATGAAGCATCCTGATTCTGTTGAAGCATGCTAGCAGCACAAATGTTAAAAATTGCAATTTTGCTGTGAAGGACCACACCAATAGACTTCAGATGGTTTTAACTGTGAATTCAGTCAAAGAGTTAGGACCACCGACAACGCGAAAGAACATGCACATAAGGAATGAAAGTTCCTTAAACATGTGATCAATAAATTATGCAGTACGAACTGAGCAACCCCTTGTTCAATGCTATGTTACAATGAAGAGAGCAATGAAAGATTGTTCATCTTGAAGATAGGAATGAATCCCGTATTTACAGACGGTACAACTTCCTTAGCAATCAAGGAATGTCGTCCAAGGTGACACGCAGAGCTCGAGAGAGGCACAACCTCTAACGAGAACGTTCCCAACCAGTAGCACAAGACACAGGGTCCCTGAACTAGAGGACTCTCTGGCTGCAAGTCATCGAATCAATTCATCCATATGATAGAAACAACAACATAGCCGAAATTTTTGCTTAGAGTATTAACAGGAATAAGTTCTCCTTGGTGTTCAAATTTGATAAAATTAAAGAATACTATCGTATAAATGGAAAAAAGGAAAAGGAACAGAAATATTCCCAACAAAACAAGCAAAATCCCATCTCAATTGATGCATGAATAGAACGTGAATTCGTGTCTGATTAAAAAAGGAAAAAAAAAAAAAGGAGGGCTACTGCAACTCTAGTTGAGAGATCAAATCAACTGAAAAATTGTGGGCAATCTCAAGGCGTGCTTTTCCTTTAGAGCACCAAAAGTAGAACAGCAGAGCTTAGAAAGGAACAAATTAGAGTATGAAGCTGGAAGGAAGCCATGTGAGGATGGGGTCATGAAATGATAAAACGTCAGAGTTAGATAAAAAACCTATAAATGTGATGTAAAAGAATACTACTGCTTTGTGCAGCTGAAATTTAAGGCTAAAATGAAATACCAAAATTTGATAACAACCGCTAGGATATTATTTCTTCACAATTAGGCTTAGCCACCAGTAGTATTTGACAGAATAGCCTTGAAAAAGGGCTATTTAAATATGCAATTCAGCTCGAGATAAGGGCGTCTCGTTGTCATGGTCCACAATCCACATGATGATTTATATGCTTCCGGGTAGGGTTGAGAAGAAATAGAAGTTGGAAATGGGGAGAAATGAATTACTATTATTTTATTTATTTTTTTTTGGAAGAAGGTCCAAAGAATGTGTATCCAATTATTATGTGGCCCAAGCTCCTGGGATCAGCATATCGACCGCTGCAAAAGCAAAAGGCAATTAGTGTAGTGGTCCTCGAATCGAATTATGGCTTATAATTATGTGATTGGTTCTAATAATAAGTGACACCGAACTACGAACAGACCTCTCTACCACTACCAACCAGAACAAAATTCAGACAACAATTTAGTCAGTCTTCTCTAAATAAATTAAAAAAAAAAAACACTACGGAGGAGTTCGTTCAACAGCAACCACTTTTTCATCTAAGGGATACATGCACGGTAACAAAAACCAATCATCCTAGGAGGAGGGACTTCTTTATTTGTCTCAAAAACTCGTACCTAAAAAGTAAAAAGCAATTATACAACAATATATCTAAAAGTATAAATATATACAGGTTACGTAGTCAAAAGAGTATCTGGAAGAAAAACGAGAACCAAAAATTTCAGTGGTACATAATCTGACATAGACCATCAATCCTCCTTGTAGTCTTTGGTTGGTCTTGCTTCAAAACCCCCATCAACTCTCTTTTCGAGTGTGTAAGGCATGTAAGTACCAAGAATTCTATCCCACGTCACAAAGAATGGCTGAGAGAAGTTATATTTGGTACCGTGGAGTTGATGGTGTATATCATGATACGCAGAATTGTTTCTGAAGAAAATATGGAACAGATTTCCAGGCAGCCAAAGTCCACAATGGTCATCAACCGTTTTCATGGTAGCAAAGGAGAAGAAGAAGATGGAAGCTCGAGGAGACATGCCTGAGAGGAGGAACGCCAATGCCCCACCAACTGTATCAAGAATCAGCCCCTCTAAAGGGTGGTTGTACAGAGCTCCATATGCATACGGGACAACCAGCCGATGGTGCTGAGAATGGATATGCTTGTAAAGAAACTTGTTCTGATGCATGTATCGGTGCATGAAATACTGCCACGTATCTAAGGCCACCATTGCAATGAAGAACTGCTTAGCAAGATCAACAAGGGGGCGCTGTTGATCTCCTTCAGCTTCACCATCATTTCCAGTAGCCTGGACCATCAACAGAACCCATTAAGCATCAACACGCAGCAAATCTTCAGCTCATTGCATTAGTTAGCACATAACCAACCAGAAAAATACAATTGCAGAAACTGATATAAAAGAGAGTTTAGATTTCAATATGAATTAGGACATTCAAAAGCACAGCAGTATATAATAGAAACATCCCAGCTGCCTGTTGTACCAGAATTTGGCTTGATTAATCAAACAGGTGATATGTGTAGTAGCACTTGAAAACCAGTTAAGAATCACCAAGTTACCACACCATCACTATGTTGCAGTGGATCACTACATAATTTGTTTGATTATATCAACAACTAATAGTTCACCAGGAATTCAATTGACCCGTAGGTAACGTAATATTCTCAAAGCTGATTAACTATATGATGGCATAATATCATCTAAGCTCAGTAAAGAAGCATTTCACTTCCTGCAAAATGATCAACTTTCCAAAAATCAAATAAAAACTAATAGAAGCTGGCTTAATGTGAAGGGGTACATCAAACTACTGCTACCTTACCAAATGAATGTACTCATCAGAATTAAATTAGCACCAATAGATTATGGACATGTAAATCACTATATCCAACTACATATTTTGAGGAAAAAAGTAAACACTCAAATGACACAAACGGCATATAAATGAAAACTTTCCTAATTAGCTGCGAGTATAGAAATAGTTCAAATCTTTCTGTAACTGCACTGTTTTTATCATCAGAACATTGAAGTTAACTGAACCTTGAACCAAGAACCAAGCCTAGTTTTTTAAAAAAAAAAAAACACAATTCCTCGTATGCACACTCCCAGGAATAAAGAGATACAAGTCCATTTCAAAGCACAAAAGGAACAAGGACTTTGTTTTATCATAAATTCCACATGTAGGATAGATCACAAGAAATTGAAACCTAAACAATCACGCATGTTCACCATAACAGTATGATCGTCTTAACACCATAATGATTAGCTCTACATATACCTACGAGGGGGGTATTACCCAAATTTTTTTTTTACAAAAAAAAAAAAGAAAAAGAAAAAGGCATGATCCCACAATTCCGTATCTGCAAAATTCAGTCGATAACGATAGCATAACCTCATGAGTACAAAGCCACCTAACATGGCAAAACTATCGAACAGAGCAGAAAACCATATCCAAAATGGCAAAAAAACCATTTTTTTTCACATTATGTAAGGATCAAGATGTTCTTTGCAGGTAACTTACGGCAAAAAGGAGGGTGGCAACAACGGCTTGAACGGCCTGTTGAAGAAGAACACCTTTGACAACGTCCTTCTTCGCTACCAAATTCTTCTCATCCTCGTCTTTCCTCGAATGCAACCTATAATTATCCATACCCCCCAGCATCATATATATCCCCGAATAAACCCAATACATCACTATTGGCACAAAAGTACCCATCAATTCATCAGATATCTCCAACCCCCTGATCTCCATATTTTTTTAATTACTAACTACCAAATCCTATATTTTCCTGAAAAAAAAAAGAAAAGGAAAATTTTGGAAGAAATAGGGTTTGGAGAGGAAGAGCTGGGGATTGTGAACTCGAATTGAAGATTTAAGGTTGAAGTTTTCTTTCTGAACCTACCCTAAAGCTAGAGGTGTCGGGGAATTAATTATGTGGGAATTCCTTATTTGGGTGGGGGCGTTTGTAATTGTGCTTGCTTGCTTTATTACCTTTGTTGGCTTTTGAATTTTCGGGGGGTGGAATGGAGTCTGAAAATTCAACGGAGCACGATTGATTCAAGACGAAAGAAGGAACTAGAGAGGTGCCGTTGAAAACGAAGAAGAGTGAATCATCTACCCTGTTGGCTTTGTATATGGTGGGGTAGTTTGTTGTTGTTTTACAACCTTAAACTATTTTGAAATCGTACAATAATACAATAATGACACTTGATTTGTTGGCATTATCAATTTGAACTTTCATTCAAACTGGATAGATATCACTATCTGATATTTGATTTTTTTTTCTTTGTCATTTGTTTAATCTTTATGAGAAAGTGGTGTTGATTTTGCCACATATATATAGCTTACCACTCAAACATGCTTTTAATTTGGAGTTTAATTTTTCTAACGAGCGCTATCCAAACTTTCTTTATCCTCCATTACTTTTTTTAAGTTAATCTTCGAATATTTTAACAAATCCAGGCGAGCGTCCGTCGGCGCTCGCAGTCTTGAGCCAGAGCGTGGCTAGACTTGTGGTGGTTGACTTTGACCGAGTCCAGGGACTTATACGACACCCCCAGTTTGAGGTGTCCTGCGGCGGGCGCTCCTGTGGGCTTCTTAGAAATTGTGTGCGCAAGTCACTTGCTCGACCCGATTTTTGTTTTTAGCTTTCGTTCTTGACCGATTGTACCACAATGTAATAGTAATTGTAATTGTATGGAGTAATAAATTAGAGATATAATTAAAATGTATTAATAAAAACTCATCAAACATCCGTTAAAAAGTTTCTATAAATATTGTAATAATTGATAACCT